GATCATGTGGTACAAAACTGAAAACATTCAAGTGCGAGGGAATTCTGAACAAAAATAATTACTACTCTAGGGGTTGCCATAGTAATCCTTAAACCAGTCTTATTCTAGCATAAACAGGCTTTTTGGAACACATATACATAGAAGAAAAAGAGTTCTTATAGATATATATATAATAGTTTAGCTATTATATATACAGTGTAGCAGTGCACACTATAAAAATTTAGTCTTTAAAAAAATTAGATAGTCATAAAATATCAAACAACTTTACAAATACTAATYTTAGGATATATAATATCTAACATAAAAGCATTTTTACATTTATGAGATGCTAGTCTGTCCAGAACAATAGTTATTCAAATTATTTTAAKTAGATATAATATAGAGTTCTGTAGTTGTTGTAATTACAGTAAGCTAGAATAAAAGAATTCAAAAATAAGTTTTATGTTTTTTAGAAAGGCTTAGCCAGGATTAATAAGAAATTTTAGAATAGTAACTTCATGACAAAATATGTTAATTTTTTGAAACAAATTGAATGCTTTTGAACTTAGTAATTATAAAATCAATTCCTATAATGACTTTGGTGTTATCATAGTGCTTCTTAGTTATGAGAAGATCGTAGTAACATCTATTTGTTTTAGTTTTTTCATAGTTAATGGAGCGCAATGGTTTGGAAACTCCTTAGAACAAAGCTATTGTTTTGTGTTTGAGGTTGAACCGTACCATCATGTGATACTAACCGTGCACAGTGAACCWAAGAAAGTATGGCTGATTTCCTTATTATTTTCATGTATGAACATTTTGAAAGTGAAAACTTTTATTCGATGACCAAAAACCATGTGGATTAATATTTTTAGATGATAAATAAGAAAGCATGAAAAAAGACAATTTCTGTTTCCATAAACAATTAATATTTAAGGGATAAGTAACAAATAATAAGCATTTTAGAACATTTTTAAGGGGGGGGGGACTTCTGTATTCCCTAATACTGTGAATAAACAGAACAACTTTTCCTTCTCTGTGCACGGTCAACCTTTTATAACAATGGATAAAGTTGAACAAAAACCTAGAACCTTWGGTTTACCAACCATTCCGCTCCATTAACTATGGTGTTTACTAAAAATAGTGATAATAATATCAAAAATAACGAAATACGAGAGAACAAATTTATGCATTAGTCAGTGTAAGGTACAAAGGTTTTTTATTCTCATTGTTATGAAGAATGCTCTCAAATTTACCTTAAGAGATAAAAAAACTTATCCTAAGAACATCGATATCACATGTAAATAATCATGTAAATAGGCTAGTTGTGGTCTGAAATGGAAAAGCATTTTACTCAAAGCAACTTTGTTCATTAACAATGAAATGTTCAGTGATGATACGGAGGATAGCCAGGATACGGGTAGCCAGGGGCACCAGGAGGTTGATGTCCRTGATGYGGAGGCCCAAAGGGTCTAGTCAGMCCATCGACGGCAGCATGAGCAGCAGCATTGACCAAGCCAGCTGGACCTGTTGGTCCCATGGGGGGAGGTGCTCCTGGATAAGGAGAATACCCTGGCGCAGGAGGATAGTGTGGGTTGCATGGAGGTGGTACCTGACCAGCCGGGTAGTTTCCAGGGTATGGTGAATGATGTTGATGCGGCGGTTGTGGGTGGTGAGGATGAGGATGATGATGATGATGATGAGGTGGAGGAGCCCCCATTGGCTGACGAGCAAGAATGGCATCCCTGGCTTTTTCACGATCAGAATTAAAAGTGATTGCTCTGTCCAGTTCATGGTGGTTGGCAGGATCGACAATGATATGTGCGATTGATTCAACCACCTTCACTTTACTCTTATCGAAGCTAAACGAACTAAGGAGCGGAACCACTTGCCCACAAGTCGCTTGTGACATTTTTGGAACACATATTTGCACCGCTTCAAGTTTCTCATCGTCAAAAGAAAATTCCCTCACYAGCTCGGCAACTTGGTCGGCGGAAATATAACCATACGAGATCGAAATACTGGATCTCAAGACATCAAATTTCTCGCTTTTAAAATGCTGTTGTTGTAATTCTCCCTTAATTCTATTGAACGTCATAGGATCCATCGTAAATCGAATTGGTTCGGTCACTTTTCGTTGAACGTTTCACGGCGTTTGATAACGGCTGGTCCGTAGCGACTCAGAAGCAGGAAGACAATTATTTTCCGTTTCGGAATTGCTATGCTTTCGCAAGATTCACTTGTGTCAGCAGGTAATCTCGCKGTCGATGGATCGGATCACTGTGTGTCACACAACTGACCATATCACATGTACTCTTTGGTCACTTCCTGTTCTTACATTTCCTTGCCTTTTTCTCTTCTTTATTTTTCTTTTGTCACACTTTTTTGTTTATTTTAGGGGAAACTTGATGCTAAAGGTTCTTTTGAGTACTGTATTAACTAAAATAGTTTCCTATTTTTCTCAACTCTTTTTCAATATCAATTACCATAGTATGTGTAACTAGTTACAGCTTTGAATGAAAATATCACAGTGAATACTGATCGATYATGCATTGGATAATAAAAGAGATCAAGTATCGCTTTAAAATTCGTAAATTAAAAAACAATCGAAAAATAAAAGTAAAATTAAGCTAATAAATGTACGTGTGTGCAAGCTGTTCCAARATGGCCCAGTCACGGATGACATTATTGGCCGTGCCCTTTGCTTGCTCAATAATCTATTTACGGACTTTAAATAAGGAATCTTGAACGTTAAGATTCCTGTTGCGTCAAGGAGARAATAAAAGCATAATGCAAAGGTCAAAGTTACGAAATATTACTCGATGAAAACTACCGAAGATGATGAACATACTCTCTTGATGTTACAGTGGTAAACTATTGGCACTTACCAACCCATGTWACTGGAAGGGCTTCACTGTGAAACAGTATCAACTAAAGGTCCCTATAAAGCGTGCCTCACTTATTCTTTGGATAGTCAATCCAAACCCAAATATCGATGGGAAAACAAATCTGAACTCACGACATGCACTTGCATGACACCCTAGCCGCACAAGTTATTGCTTGTTGGCAGCCTGCCCGCTAGACTCCGACTGAACTATCTGCTTACCGATAGAAAAATAGCCAGGCCAAAAAAAAAAGGGTTTTTTAAAATAATTTTGTTTCTATATACTGATTTCCCACCGACATTGACAAAAAAGCATTAACTCATAAAAAAATGAAAATAAAACCTGTTATGACGAATAATATCATTGTATTCCCTGAAGATGGGCACTAATGCCCGAAAGCTCGGAAATAAATTGTTTTTGGTTRAAGAAACATCGATTTAAMCATTATAAAATCAACTTACAAAACAACACTTGACATAGTTTCAGCCGTCATTCACTTTTTMAATTTCTTCAAATTAAAATTCGTTGTTAGCGCCAGTTGTGCTTAAGCTCGCTGAAAGATTAAATTAAAGCTGGTTGAAAATTAAGAACCTTAAAGAGCAATAGTTTTTCCTTCATCGATGAACACACAGTGCGAATAAATTCTCTMAACCAATCAAATCACTTCGTTTAAAACCAAATCTATTCGAAATTTTTTCTCGTGAGCACTAGTTTCCATGGTCTCTTCGTTCAGGAGGAAGACTCTGGAGTTTAAGCTACTGCTGTTTCGGAGCATTTTGAGCTTTGAATTTTGATAATTTCAATACTTAAGTACGGTACTTTGGTATGCTATTGTATAACGATTTGATTCAAAGATGTTAGAGTTCTTGGGCTTCGTTTTGGTCGCGTCCATCTCGGTCACTATTTCAGGTTTGTAACATAWGGTCTTTTTAATCTAGCATCTTTTAGTGTAAGAGTCAGTTGTCCAGTATTTACCGATTATATCAGAACGACTTCGTGTGGGAAATGAGAAAATATTTTCAAAAGGTTAGCTTATAAKGTACCACAAAACCTCGAGAATTAAAGCATGGGTTATAACCTCTTTTTGAAAATTTGCTCGCAAGAACAATTTTTTGATGATTTGATGTCTGCGGCAAAAAGTGGTCTTTATCTTTGGGCCCGTTCCCCCAATTTAGGTCTATCTCCTTACAAAGCTTTAAAATCCTCTAGTCTTTATCACAGGGCATTGTCCTGATGCAACGCGTGTGCGCAGGTCATCAAATAACAAATCTTTCACTTCGATAGGACCTGTGTATTCAGATAATCCCATCAAACCAGGCTGCCTCGTTGAAGATAAATTCCACAATGTCGGGGATAACTTTACAGATCAATACTGCAGTGAACAATGCCAGTGTTTGGGATCTAATGGTCTTTACATGCCAGTATGTTGGCCGCTGTGTCTGATGTACCCTAGTGATTGTCCCGAGGGTCAGTTGGTTCGTGTAAATATTATACCCGTAGGACCACCGGGCAGCAAGTGTACGTGTAAAGAAGCCGAGTGTACGATGATTAATGGACGGGAGAGTATTCAATACTAATATTAAYACTTTTGTAGAAAACACGAAGCTAATAACCAGCATAGGGGGGCGGGTTTACGTAGAACCGAACCGGAAGTAGAAAGATAGTTTATGAAAACCAGAAGTGAAAAGATTGCGTTACGGGAAYGAAAGTGCATAGAAACTTTGCTAAAAAGTTGTAGTTGCAAATGGCCAATGAGAAAGCAATGACAACGAAAAACTGTGACTTTACAAAGCATCGAATTGTATTTCTTAAGGCTTTAATGCAGTTTATCATTTTCATGAGACAACAAATAAGTGCGACGAAAATAAATTGTAAGAGTTTGGTAGATGAAAATCAGTGYCAATTTAATGATGGATTTGTTTGATCAACACTAGTTATTTTAGCTAACCGCGTATGATCGCATCAGAAGCCATAGCTATAGAGAAATTGAGGTGAAACTGGATCGCTATGAAGATCCGCGACAAAATAACTAGAAATAACAGTTGGAAACAAGCAGAATTATACAAGACTGTCAAAACCGACCTAATCTGATTCAGAACACCGAGACGCACGTCAGCATCACAGACGCAATTTTTACCCGCCAATTTCTAAAATTTTTGCGCGACCTCTCCAGCTTGCTCACAAGGATGTATTTTACAATTTGAAATAAGGGAGCCGACAGCAACAACTGACCATATCTTGTCTGCGCAKCGAACACTGTATTTCTTTTTTACTTCGTGTCTATAAAAACAGAACTAATTCCTGCGAGAACGCTAACRAAAGTAACCCCTGGTTCTGGAGAGCTTTCCGCTCTGACTTGCCGTTAGACATACCCTTAATAGASCTTATTTGTTTTAACCAAGTGTTAAATGGTGTTAAATATTGGCAGTGATCTCGGAGACGTAGCTTGCGGTGAGATCTCTTAGCTCGGCCARCGCGCAGTCTTCTGGTAAGGGGAGTTTACTGATGTGTGGTACGATTACGTGGGATGGAAGAGGAGTTTCTTCTTCGAGCGACAGATCACCCTAATAGTATAGAAAATGATACCATTAAAATMCCAACAGTCGTAATTCTTTCGTGATTTATACCCACAGGAAACTAATCATTTTTGGGTCACTAGGGGTGAGTTTATGAAAGGGGAGGTTGTTCCAAATGTGCAATAAATAGAAGGGAGAGTCTCCCCCCCACTGAATGTGCTGACGGTCTCTCATCTACCATTTCGGAGAAAGAAAGCGAAGTGCATTGTGGTTTTGCTTGGGTACAAACATGTTTTGTTCTCCGTGCTTTGTATGGCGTTGCTCGTACCTAAGCTAGACCAAAATGCATTCTGTATATCCAAATCAGAAAAGGTATTATCCAAAGAGTTATGCATCAGCTAAAATAAAAAGGTATTTTTGATAATTATTGATAAATTAGATGAATATTTCTGGCTGAAACAAGTGAGGTTACAAGAAGAGGATCTAAATGGTAGAATAAMTGTGATATTCACCAGTTCGCTTGTAGCCACCTTCAGATAGTTAGCACACTGCTTGGCCAACTCATATTGGCACAATCTAGAAACAAAATATTAAAGTAAGCATTCATTCATCACAAACCAAGCACTCTCGACTAACTAGCTCACCTGTCTTTAGCAGACGTTGATGGTAAGTGATTTATTCGAATGCAGAGTGACGACACTTGCATGTGGATCTCCTCGAAGTTATATTTTGTTGGTTCAAGAGAACCCTGTGAAACAGAAAGAAAATAAAAATCATAAATAAAACCTTGTAACTTGACTCTAATATTACAATCTGTGAGAGTTCTCCTTAGTAGTCATAAATAGGCGTACACGTCGTGATCCTCTTACCTCAGTAATTGCCTTGAATTTTTCTGTGACTTTCAGGAAATCTAAAAGTACCTTTAAAAAATGGTGAGATAAACTATAAGTCACCAAGGAATTGCTATCATACCTGAGGTATTCTAGCACCAGTACCCCAAGAGATGAGGACGAAAATCAATGACCGAGAAGCACGGGAGCGACATATCTTCTGAAGCTCAGAGTATTGCTATGTATTGATGGTTTTCAACCATTCCCAAGAGGATTAAATAACAAAAGACACGGCGGCCATGTTGGAGGATACAACAAAAGAATTCATTGACAATTCTTTTGTTAAGGTCCTCCAACATGGCCGCCGTGAAAACCATCAATAGTATATTGAAGGTTTGTTATGCATACCTGTCCTCCACTGGCCCAGTCCTTGRCGGTGGAGCTTCTTTCTCTTGGTTCGAGTTCTGATAGAAGTGTGTGTAGGCTATCGAATTCCTCTATAAATGACGATGAATAATTTAATAAAAAACGGATGAAATAATAGAAAGGAAAAGTAAATAAATATGCATGGTGAGGTACCAGACATTGTGGAAAGAAAGGAAGAGAAGGAAGGAAGGATGGGAAGGAGAAACTATGGAAGGGTGGGCGGACTGTCAGAGGGATTGGTGGATAATGGGAAAATGGTTTGCAAAATGAAAAAAATCTGAAATAATAGAATGGAAAGAAGGTAAGTGACCATGATGAGATACCAAGCATTGAGGAAAGAAAGGGAAGAGAAGGAACGAAGGATGAAAGGGAGAAAACCGTGGATGGAAAGAAGGATTGGTGGAGAATGGGAAAACGGTTTGCAAAATGAAAATTGGATAAAATAACACAATGAAAAGGTAAGTGACCATGATGAGGTGCCTAGCAAAGGAGGGAAGGAAAGAAGGAATGAATGGKARGAAAGGACGAATGGGAGGGAAAGGAGGAAGGAAGAAAAMTATGGGAGATGAAAAGATGGATTGRTGGAAATTTGGAAAAGGGAATCATGAAGAAAAAGAAAAAGGAAAAAGGAAATCAGAATYAATGCATTATGGCCTGAAARCCAAAGCAACTAACCATTAATGATTGCATCGCTTGCTATCTTGGTAAGAATCACTTGATGACCACGATTCCACTGCTGAGACTTGAGGAGATGAAAAGCCTCTTCATGTGGAAGATCGAGATAAAATGCTCGAATAGCCTAGAACAATCACCACAGATACATGTTACCATTAAATACCAGTATTACTAGTGGTGTTGGGTCAGGAACGATAACGAAAGGGGGAGGGGGAGGGTATTAAAGAACAACGGGTGACGGTGGAGAGTGACAGTAGTTACCTTAGCYTCGTGTATCCACTCATCAGGGATGAGAAGTTTTTCTTTTAAAAACTGTTCCTTTCTCATGTAATCCTCTGTGGTTGATAACTGGCAGTGACGACACAGGAGCGAACGAACTGCATGCTCACGTCTATAGTCGATTTAAAAAAAAGGATGTTATTACATGGCCATGAGTTAGACATTATTCATTTTGGTGCAAGTACAGTTGCTTAACAGTTGCGCAAAAGAAGACACATGAATATGTATATGAAGTACATCATCTTTCTCTCTTGACTTAGTCAACTAGGAGACAGAGTGAACCGTTAATGGATGGCATCCTGTYGAACTCATGTTTGAACTGCGTCAGTCTCTCCGCTTGGTCAACTGACGTTCCAAGCAACTGTACAATCGTTACGCAACTTTACAAAAACATGTAAATCTGTAAGAGTAATCACTTACTTTAGCCTGTCTGCCATGTGGAGAAGCACAAAGGCAGCCCACTCCCACAGTCCAAGTGCTTCCAGCTGAGCAGCAAAACTACTGTGTAATACTCCGCCATGGTACGGGGACAGGTGTGAGTAACCAATTGATTCGAGGGCTTGAGACAGATGCCAGCTAAAACGTAAAGAAAGGCATACTCCTAAAAACAATTTTTTTTGCTCTATACAGATAGGCCAATCTCGTCTACAGAAGGTACATTCCTCTTTGTCAGAACCAAGGTCGTAAAGGCTTAAAATACACAATCTCGTTCCCAGAGCCCTTATTTCTTACTGCGCATGCTTGACGAAATATGCGCAGTACGAAATAAGCGCAGTAAAAAATAAGCGCGCTCTGGAACAACTCGTAATACACTTGTTTCAAAAAACGTTTTCGGTGGGAGATCTAACTAAAATACGAAAAATCGCAATTCTAAATCAAATGTTATGCTTCATATTCCAATCTAAAAGGAAACTACATTGCTCGGCTGTGAATATATTGCGATTTGCAGCATGCTACTCGGTCTCAGATTGCAGATTTCAGATCACTGACCGACAACACTCTTTGGAAATAGGTGTATTCACTTTTACTAACCACTTGCATGCAAGGTGAATTACTATCTCTTACCTCTGTCTGTAGTCTAGTTGATGAGATGTATAAGTAGCTGGTGCTATCGCTCGCTCCAGTCTGTGTGACCTTTTACAATATAGTTTTAGGAGATGATAGCACGTATCACGCACATTGCCTGCCTTTTCGTTATCCTCCTCATCGTCTTCTTYACGATAGGGAGGGTTAGGGGGTGCACCGTATTGACCGTAGCTTGTTCTTCCCTAGAATTAAATAAATATAAAGAGACAATCAAAAGTGTGTGCGATAACAACATATATATTGCAAAAATATCCCACAAAAAAATATTATACGACGATACGTTTCAAAACGACATTTTTGCTGACCAATTAATTGGCTGAACACCTAGCMAATTTACAGAGGTCTAAGATTGGAAATATAGAAGTAAATGAAGTCGCCGAAACATGGAAAGCACTCGAATAAATGTCTCGAGGGCACAAAGATATAGACCGACTTAAATCTGGCTAAAATACTCGCTTCACACCACACCAACCTTAAAGGAGTCCTCGTAACTGGCCAAGACATCTGAAATTCTTGTAGTTGGCATGTTTTGATACCTGGAAAAATYAAACAAGTTTTAAATTAGTGCTACCGAGTTTACATGACTAAAATAGTATGAAGAATGCTTTCCTAAAAGAGACGAACACTTTCAAACCTTCGTTCTCGAAATCTTCCGAAACTTCCGCATGCAAATTTTTCTCGCCATTTTTTTCGAGCATGGGCAGAAGTAATAGGAGGAACCTTCCTAGTTTTTGAAACACGTCTACCATTTTGCCGCCATTTTTTCGAGCATGCGCAGAAGTCTTAGAAACGCGTCTGCGGCCATTATCRTTTTTGGTGCATGCGCAGTAGGTGTGCGCTAGTGCTGACTTACCACATATGAACAGCAAGGGTTCTCTTCCAGTCCAGTCCCTCACAGGCATTCACAGTCTCGCTCGATGTTCGCCATACCATACAACCGGCCARTAATGCCAGTATTTTAATTCTCTGTTCTGCAATGTAATCATCAGCCTTCATTTGCTCCCAGACACTCAGTTGTTTCTGTAGCAGATACCTGACAGTTGCGTTACCAGTCGCTTGTGATAACAGTAACGCCAGTCTATGATCTCGATGCTGCTGTGCAACGTGACAAGCTTGGCTTATCTGTCGACCTGTCACGTGACTCCATATAGCAGCAAGATAATCGCTTTCCTAGTAATATACACCAAAACAATACTGTTAGCCGGCTTGACCCGTTATCACCTAGTGAATATATAAAAAATGAATATAAYATATTTTCACGTAAGTCACTTTCCTCAACATTTTTACCTCAAAGTTTGCTCTATCCACTTCTGTTTTTACCCTGTCTTTAGCAGCATTGAACAGCCATCTTGACAAAGCTTCTCTTCGAGCCAAGTGRTATTGATATGAGTCCCTATCTTCTGATATCTTCTCGTCTTTGTCTTCATCGTCTTCTCTTAGGTGTCCCCACAGAGCGACAGCAAGATCCCAGACAAGGCTCATGTGCTGGGCAGACTCGTKGAGCGGACCAGAAGCTGTAAGGATATGAATTAAATGAAAAAAGCTTCAATCATTGTAGCTATTGTTGTTGTTGTTGTTTTCGTTGCTGTTGTTGTTGTTATTGTTGTAATAGTTGGCTACTGATGCTGTTACTGAAGTTGRGATATCTCACTGTKACTGATGTTTTTGATTTAKYKATTGTTGTTGTTGTTATAACGGTTAGCTACCGTTAAGATTTCTCACAGTTACTGATGTTGCTGCAGTTGTTGAAGGCTTTCAAACGTTGTCACTACTGCTGTTTTATTTCCATTGGCGCTTTTCCTGCAGCAAGCTGTTGCTGCTGTTGTTCCATCTACTTTCGTCATTCTGTTGTAACTTTTGCCGTTTTTCGTGTTTTTTTTGTTGTTGTTGCTGTTGTTCTGTTGTCGTTGATGTTGACGTTGTTGCTGCCGTTGTCGTTGTGCTGCTGTTGTTGTCGTTGCTCCTTTTTTGTCGTCGCTCTTCAATAAGTAATCTCAAATGAACCATGTACTTTTAATAATGCAATTATCTTACCCAAAGATTCCGTGTTTTTTCTGGCAATTCTCGCATGATGATGAAGGGCCTTGGTACTCCCAGAAGGCTCAAAGAAAGGACATCCATCTTTACTTGTTGATGATTTGCTGTGTTCTAGTTCGACTTCTAGTGACGACACATGCTGTAACTATAAGACAAAGACATGTTATCACTTTTAATAGCCCTTTATAATTCATAAAGCATAGATTGGAGGTGTCACAAGTTTTCAAGTTATTTGAAAGGCGTGAATCATTGGTGTTTCGCATATTGTTCCAACTACCAGCAAATTTAATTGCTTTTTGAATGTTCTTTTTATAAAGTTCATAAGAAAAAGTTTCCATAAGAAAAGCATAAAATTATCTATAGGTTGTTCCAGCAAACACCAAAGATTGCCATAGTGACCTTACCAAAGCACTTTCATTATCCTGTCTCAAGTGTTCAGCAATGTTCAGTCTCTCAATGACCACTCCAAATGGAGAACGCCCTTCTTGTGCTTCTGACACCAATCTTGACTTRGAAAACAAAGTATCTCCAGTGTGAGATGACTGTACTAGAGCCGATGTCTTTTCAGTCTTCGACCCAAGAGGTTTCCCACTGTGGACTAGAGAAAAGCCAGGTCCCCATCCAACACGGAAGGATCTTCCCATTACCAGCCCGAAGTCTGCTAACTGYTCCTCTTTGCCATCTGTGACAGACATTTCTTTAGGGACCAAATCCCTTTGTTYAGCCCTGGCCCCTACTAGTTTGGTTCCTCTATCAAATGCACTTCCGATAGCACTTGGTAGCATTATCTTGGCTTGTGGGGTGTCTGATGCAACTGCATGTGGGATGGGGTACTTCTGTGATAAAAATCCTGAAGAAAAATAAATTTATCTCAGCTAACGACTAATGGTTTTAGTCCTGATTTCTGCACAAAAATTACCCTGTTTTTCTAGATCGTTATTTTCCCAAGTAACTCTGTATACTCCTATYTCAAAAAATGCTGGTCTGGGATCTGAGATGGGCGATCTGAGACTAAGCGGAATTTTTGTGCTTTTATCTTTTCTGGCTGAAATACGAAAAATCACTTTTCTAACTCAAGTTCATGTGYTTCATAAATTCCTGAGAATTCATTTAGCAATTGATAGCAAATTATTAGTCAAACCTAATTAAAGCTCCATAGTTCAACTCGTGCAAATATTAATACTATTTTAAAAAGTGAATGATACTAGGTCGAAGACTACAGTACCTATCTTTGGACTCCTAAACAGMACAGACGAAGACTGTAAAGTTTGTCCAGCAAGATCAGTATGCTTGGTAACCTTTGGTGACAACATTGGGCCAAGCGCAAGGGAACTTCTCTGACTTCTCTCGTCAAACGATCCACTTAATAAGGACTTGACCATGGATGTTTTCTCCTTAGGCAGTGGTGAGRGGACAGATGGTTCAGATTCACCAAAGAAGGAAGCTTTCATGACCTGCATTCGATGCGCRCTCACACCAAGTGCTGTGGCCAGTTGATGGCTGGCTGGTGATTCGTTCATGTCCTCATCATCCTCTAACACCTCATCTATAGAACACAACAATAGTTTATTCTCAAAAATTCTTGAAAAAATACAACCTACTTTACTCTGCTTACATTTGGTTGAGAGGAAAACATTTGAGGATACTTAAAATCAAAATATTTTGAAAACTTTTTAACGATGTACAAAAAAATGTAGACATCTGTAGAAACTGAATCTCRAGAGAATATTTTTATTTTTCAAGTAATTAATCTTAATACTTAATGAAATGTAACTTTAGGATATGTATGTACTTTAGGATACTACTTTTAAAAGCAGTCCGCCTTAAACCTGGATGCTGTTTATTTATACTTTTTCAAAAAGATATGATAATATTTCTATATTAATTATATTTTATCTCTGCTTGGTGAAACATGGCAATAACAATAATCAAGTTTTTTATCTACGCTAAGAAGATTTACCAGGAAAAGCCTGGTTTTCCAGATCATCTTCATCACTATCCTGGTCTTGCATGCTTTCTGCAGATCTCTCCTTCTCTTGTTCATATGCCTCTAGCTTGGCCTGCTGTTCTTTCAACTTCTGTAGCATGGCTAACTTTTCCTGGGCTATTGCCTCTTGAGATTCCTTCAGGACAAGACAAGAATTTCAAAACTGTTATTCCCAAACAACAAAGAATCAATCTAACAACACCCTACAAATAACTACCACATCTACAAGTACTAACAACTCAATATTATATTGTACCATTAAGGACCAAGCAGTGTGTTACCAATGTCCTGACAGTACTCATCACCTACCAACTACTCAATAATTATTCTACCACCAGACAACCAACCAATGCTCTACAACCATCCTATCTATAACGACCACCTACCAACAACTCAACATTCTACCAACATCCTACCAATAACAACCATCTACCAACAACTTGACATTCTATCACCAACAACCAATGCATTATGCTCTACCAACACGCTGTCTATAACCACAATCTACCAACAACTCAACATTCTACCACCAACAACCAACCAATGCTCTACCAACACGCTATCTATAACCACAATCTACCAATAACTCAACATTCTACCACCAACAACCAACCAATGCTCTACCAACACGCTATCTATAACCACCATCTATCAACAACTCAACATTCTACCACCAACAACCAATGCTCTACCAACATCCTACCAGTAACAACCATCTACCAACAACTTGACATTCTACCACCAACAACCAACCAATGCATTATGCTCTACAGTATAAACACCCTATCTATAACGATCACCTACCAACAACTCAACATTCTACCATCAACAGCCAACCAATGTTCTACCAACACCCTACCCCTAACTAACTACAATATCTGACTTGTAATGATATTGATTAATCCATACTTTAGTCTTGGTGGTTTCCATGTCAACAGGTGGTCTCTTTAGTTTCTTGATTGTGCTCTCGTCATCCA